ACGGGCCCCTGGCTGCTCAGGTGGGAGGCCTGGAGCAGAGGGAACCAGGCCTGGGCTCACCCCAGACCCGTCGTCAGAGCCAAGGTCGAGGGGGGCTGAAAGGACTGAGCCAGAGGCAGTGTCTTCCAAGCACCCACCTGGAGCCATTCAGGAGGCAGCAGGCTGGGTGGAGGGGTCCCCGTTCCTCCTCCTCCAGCCCAGGGCTCCCTCTGACTGTGAAGAAGGGAGCTGGCAGGCGCTTCGGGGCCCCTCACTCATTGGGGTGGGGGCCCCCCTTCCCCTGTGTTCTTGCACAATACTCCTCAGCAGCCTTGTCCAGTGGCATCACTGTCCACGTGGTACACAGAGGCCCCGAGGCTCAGAGGCAAAGCCACCTGACCGAGGCCACCTGACCGAGGCCACATGACCAAGACCACATGACCGAGGCCACACAGCTAGCCATGCCACCCATCTGCATGCTGGCACAGCCCAGCCAGGCCCCGCATAACCCTCGGCATTCTCCCCCAGGACCAGGAGCTGGAGAGTCTGTCGGCCATCGAGGCGGAGCTGGAGAAGGTGTCCCGGCAGCTGCAGGCGCTGCAGCGGGGCTGAGGGCCACCAGCCCCTCCGGCCAGGCCTGGCGGCAGCCAAGGCCCTGGCTCTGCGGTCCCCGCGCCCAGGCCCCCTACCCCCCCGCTCCCTCACCTGCCCTGGCCCCCGGGCCCCTCCGCGGGGCAGACCCCACGACTCCACACGGCGATCCTCTCTGAGCATGGGGAGCTCTCTAGGGCACAACGGCAGTAACCTCTGACCTTCCGGGGAAGGGGGAGCATCCTGGCTGGGTATACCCTGCACACAACTTGCAAAGGAAAATAAACCTGCTCCGGGCTCTCCTGTCTCTCTGAACCTTCCCCTTGGCTCCGGGGTGTCGTGGGTGGGGTTCTGGCAAAGGGGCGGGGGAGGTCCCGCCCCCCTGGGGCGTCCTTTCCGGGCAGCTTCTTAGCCATGGGATCTGGGGCGAAGGGCTGCCTCCCGGGCACCAGTGTCCCATCTCCTGTGTCACTGAGTGCTGGCATTGGCCTCCAAGTGTGTGGGGGTTAAACCACACCTGCCCGGGAGGGCCCGGGTTCCTCTCCCTCCCCCCCCCCCCCCCCCCCCCCCCCCCCCCGTTCCCAGCCACAGCTGAGCTGGGCCCCCAGCAGGCGGGGTCAGGGAGGGAGACGGCCTCAGCGCTCCTGGTGCAGGGAGAGTGGCTGCCACGGGCGCCCGCGGCCTGAGTGCCATCCTGACCTGGCACATGCAGGAATTGGGCATCTGAAGTCCTGGCACATGTAACGGCTCACGAGGGCTCCGTCTCAGCTTTGAGAATGAGGACACTGAGGCTCACAGGACTCATCGAGGCCACGGGCAGGCGTGGTGCCCCAAGCATTTCACCGGGGGACAGGGCACGTGTAAGAAGGGACCGGGCGGGTGTGCGGACCGGTGTGGACCCGCCGAGCACCGGGCTGTCCGGGCGCCCGGCGGACATCTGTAGTGACCTCTGTGGGCCCACAGCCCTGACCTCACGGAGCCCCTAGACGCGGGGTTTGGCGGCAGACTGGAGCTGGAGTCCCCGGCCCAGCGAGGGGGCTCCGGCGAGCGCTCCGGCTCTCTCCGAGCCCTGGTTTCCTCGTCCACCAAGTGGGGCTGGCACATCCTGGCGGGGGTTCGAGAGGCCCAGGCAGACAGGGTCAGGAGACCAGCGTGACACCAACACAGTCCCCGGAGGGGCTGGCGAGGCTGGGCCTGGCATGGAGCGGGGAGGGCTCCACTGCTCAGTCAAGTATCGGACCCCCACTCCCAAGACGAGGCGGCGGACGAGGGAACTCGTCTGAAGTAACCCCTCCCCGAGGCGGCCGCCTGCGGGCATAACCCCATCCCACGGGCAAACGCAACGCAGAGCCGCGGGCCAGGTGCTCCCGGCTGGCCCGGGAGCCGGCTGTGTGTGTGGCGGGCCTGTCCGTGTAGGCGTCAGGCAGGGGCACAGATGTGCAGAGCCCGTCAGGGCCAGCTTGGGGCTCTGGGAAGCACTGCTTGGGAACAGGGCTGAGGCCGGTGGCCTTTGTCACCGAGCACAGGTGCCAGCACCAAAGCCAGGGCTGCCGGCCTGGTGAGGCCCTGCCTGCTGACAAGCCTTTCGGGAGAGAGGCCGCCGAGGGTCTGCCCTCTCCCCCCACCGGCCTGGGAGGAGGTGTCTGCCCACAGCAAACCTGTGAGAAGGGGTGCACCCCCCCAAACACACACACACACACACACACACCACACACACACCACACACACACACACACACACCACACACCACACACACACCACACACCACACACACACACACACACACACACACACACACACACACCACACACACACACCCCACACACCTCCCCCCCACACACACCACACACACCACACACCACAGACACACACACACACACACACACACACCACACACACACCACACACACACCACACACACCACACACACACACACACACACACACACACACACCACACACACACCACACACACCACACACCACACAAACCACACCACACACACACACCACACACACACACACACACACCACACACACACACACACACACACACACACACCACACACACACACACACACCACACACAACACACCACACACACACACACACACACCACACACCCCCCAGACACACCAACACACACAACACACACCCCCCACACACACCACACACACCACACCACACACACACCACACACACACACACACACCACACACACCACACACACACACCACACACACACACACACACACACACACCACACACCACCCACACCACACCACACACACACCACACACACACACACCACACACACACACACACACACACCACCACACACACACACACACACACACACACCACACCACACACCACACACACACACACACCCACACCACACACACACCACACACACACACACACCACACACCACACCACCACACACACACCACACACACACACCACACCACACACACACCACACACAGACCACACACACACCACACACACACCACACACACACACACACACCACACACCACACACCACACACACACACACACCACCCACACACACACACCACACACACCAACACCACACACACACACACACACACACACAACCACACACACCACACACACCACACACCACACAACACACCACACCCACACACACAACACACACACACACCACACACACACACACACACACACACACACACACACACCACACCACACACACACCACACACACACACACACACACACCACACCACACAACACACACACACACACACCACACACACCACACACCACACACACCACACACACACACACCACACACCACACACACACACACCACACCACCACACACACACACACACACACACACACACACACACACCACACACACACACACACACACACCACACACACCACACACACCACACACCACACACACACCACACACACACACACACACACACACACCACACACACACACACACACACACACACACACACAGCCCTGGGAGGAGGCTCCGGCTGCCAGGCTAGGGCCCAGTCCGGAGGAAAGGGAGCGGAGACCTCGCTGGCACAGGCCCCTCGTGGCCAGACGAGGCCCAGGGTACTGTCAGTCAGCCTCTGAGCAGTGGGTGCGGGGTCCCTCCATCCGAGGCCAGGTCACCCAGGCTCCGGGTGGGCAGATGGGAGTGGGATAAGGGCGTGGCCAGGACTTTGTCGAGAATCGATGCACTTCTCTGCCTCGGGGTGAGCCATGGTGGGGAGCCTGCTCCCGGCTCCAGGTCGCTGCCGCTCGGGGCCCCTGCACCGTGACCTGTGACCCGAGAAGGGAGCGGGACTGCCAGAACCTCACCGGGTGGAGGACCCGCTTCCGGGGACGGAGGAGAGAGATGCCAAGCCCAGCGAAGCCACTCTATGGCACTCCTGGCAGTGGCCAGGGCAGTGGCCAGGGTGAGTGCCAAGCCGAGGGCCAGCCTTCCAGGCGACGACACACAGCAGCCGCTCTCCCAGCTGGCTGAAGACCACAGCCTCCTGCCGGGCCCTCAGCCCCCCCAAAGCCCAGCCTCCGGAGCGGGGGTCACTCCCGCGAGGTCCCCCCCGTGGACGCGGGGCGGCCAGCGGGGCCTGCCCTCTGCAGTGACTGCTGGCTCCGGGCTCAGCCCCACCCACGGCGCTGCCAGCCCGGAGGCTCCTCTGGGCTCCTGGGGGGACAGGCATGGTGCCTGCCTCTGATGGGGCCCCCATTACATAATCATCATCCCAGGGAACCTGTGACCCACCCGATGCGGCAGGGCCTCAGCCCCGTGTGGCGGAGGCCGGTGACAAGCAGGCCCAAGGGGAAAGCTGCTCTGGGGATGGTGTCGGTGTGCACCCCGCGGACCTGGGGGTGCTCGTCACTCGCAGCCCCTCCCCTCCACTGCGCTCCCTGACTTGGCCCCCAAACCCTCCGGAGACGGCTGCTGCTGGTTGCACGGTGGTGCCCAGCCCAGGGGAGAGGACTGCACATGTGTGGGTGCAGGTGGGCCCCCCCCCCCGCCCCAGCCCCCGCCTTTATGCCGCCAAACCGCCCCCTCGGCTTCCTTTCCGGGAAAAGGCAGCGGCCGTGCCCGGCACCCGCAGGAGGCGAGCGGAAAACGCCACGTCACCAGAAAGCAGTCACGGACACCTGGGCCTGGGTGCTGACATGCATGACGCCGAGGGCGACACCCATCGCGCAGGCCAGGCGCGGCCCGGGCCCCACCGCGGGCCCACCCGCTCTGCAGGCAACGTGGGATTGGAATTTTATTCAAAAAGTAAAGCCGTTTTATCAGGACACGGGGATGACAAACTTCCAGCGACACTGCGCACACGCGCGCGCGCGCGCGCGCACACACACACACACACACACACACACACACACACACGGTGAGTTGGATTTCAGTAGTTTATTCTGGAGACAAAGCAGTGCAAGAGGCGGCCACGCTCCCCGCTGCCCGGGGCTTGGGCAGCCGGAAGTGACGCTCAGACATTGTAATGGGGTTCCACTCGGTCGTGTAAACGCGGTTAGTCAGCAGGCCCGCGTCCAGGGCAGCGGGCAGTTCTGAAGGCAGCCGCCCCGGCTCCCCGCCGAGCCAGGCGCCCAGCTCAGCAGCCTCCGGCCCTCCTCCCGGCCTCGCGGGCCAGCCAGGCCTTTTCCTCCTCCTCACACTCAACTGGTACCTAAGACGGCAGGTCCTGGCATCTCTCCCGGAGCCCACTGTCCGGGACAGACACACCTCCTCTGAGGAGGGCGGCCAGCGTGGGCCTGGGGATGCACCAACCAGCGGGGCCTGTGTGCGCCCCCCGGGCTAGGGGCTGGCTGGGGAGGTTAGGCTGCTGCTCCCTCCCCCTCCTCCCCTGGCTGGCTCAGTGCTTGGGGCTGCAGTGAGTACGGGAGGGGATGGGCCTGCGGGGTAAGGGGGAGGCGGGCGGCTCCTCCTGCCTGGGAGGGGGACCCCGCGTGGCCTCGGGGCCAAGGGCAGGCCCATCCAGGTCCGCTTCTCGGAAAGCAGGTGCGTCGCAGGCCTGGGGCGTCAAGCCCGCCCTTCAGAGTTCTGGTCTCCACGGAGGCCTGGCGTTCTCAGGGTGATTTGCCCAAAGTCATGGCACAAATCCTTGGCACGGGCGGGGTCAGCCTGGGGACCCGCCAGGCAGCCTGCTCCGGGGTCCGAGGAGCAGCGCTTGGTCCAGGAGGAGGCCTGAGGGCTGCGGGCGGGCGGTGAGGGGCGGAGGGGCTTTGGGAGAAGGAAGCACGGCCACAGCCCGGGCCCAGCACGGAGCCCCCAGAGCGGCAGCTGCGGCCTCTTCCCTCCGGGGCTCATGCTTCCGGGAAGGGCAGCCGCGTAGCTGTGGGGTTTGGGGCCCCCCCTGCCCCCCCTGCTCCTCTCAAAGCCGGGAGGCGGCCGGCCTGGGGTGGGGCTTGGAGGAGAGTGAAGGGGAACCGTCCATCGGCTCCGTCCAGCGCCCGCAGTCTCAGCAGGGGTGGCCCCTGTGGGCCCCAGCCCGGTCCGCAGCAGCCATCGAGACCAGGACACGGAGGTGCACGCACACTCGCACACGCACAGCAATCGCACACGTGCACACGCCCCTCCGCTCAGACCTAGTGTTGAAGCACACGCGTGTGAACCGGGTGAAGGTCTGCACAGCAGGAGTCGGGCAGGGGTCCTCTCCCGGGAGCCGGACCCCCGGGCTCTCCCCACCCCCGCCCCTCACTCAGACAGTGACGTCGGGAAACAGGTACACATGGGGGGCGTCAGACCGCTGGGGATTCTGGGGAGGATGCCGGTCCCGTGGCAGCTCCGTGGCCCGCGCCGCCCTTGGGTCCTGCGCTCCGTGGCTACTGGGAGGAGGCCTTGGTGGCCAGGGAGGCCACGCAGTGCTGCTGGAAGCTGGGCGACACGGCGGCGGTGCAGCCCCGTCGCTGGTGCGGCAGCTTGGCAGTGCCGCCCGCGCCGTCCTCCGCGGCCCAGGGCGGGTCCGGGCCCATCGCGCTGCACGTCCGCTCGCCCGCCAGGCTGTCCGCCTGCCCCGCCAGCAGCCGGCTGTGCCGCAGTGGGGCCGGGGCCCCGGCGGCCGCCGCGGCCGCGCCCGGGCCCTGCAGGACGGTGGCGATGTGGTTCAGGAGGTCCGTGAAGAACTCGCTCACGCCCTCGTAGCCTGGGGGGCAGAGACGGACAGAGCGGGCTCAGCCGGAGCGGGGAAGGCCCGGAGGACAAGGCTGCGGGCGGTCACACGGCCGGACTCAGAGCTGGTGCCGTGGCTCCGAAGCACCGGGCCCTGGATGTGCTGCCCCTACCCTGTCCCTCCCGGGCACAGCTTCACGGGCTCCTTCACCGGAGCCTGGCCGGAGGCCACCTGCCCGGAGGACCGAAGGCCACTCCTCCTCACACCCTGAACCATTAACGCCCTTCCCGCCGCGCGGCCGGCCTAGCGTCCTCCTGCGTGAGCTGAGAACTCGGGGAGATGCCTGTGGGCACGACCGAGGGGGCTGGAAAGTGGGCGATGCCTGGCCTGTAGCAGCTGCTCCCCAAACTGAGTCCTCACCCCCAAATGCCTGCGGGGTACCGCACGTGCCCGTGCCCTGAGCATCACAGCAGGGGGTGGGCAGAGGGAGCACCCCGCGAGGCCACACACGGCACCGCTTCCCTCACGGCGGGCGGCCCAGGGTCCTGCACGGGACCTGCTGGGCCTGCACTTCCTGCCGCAGAGGCGAATGCACGTGTCAGCACAGAGTCCTTGGGGGCCGCGCAGAACGGGGATCTGGGGCGAGGATTTTGCTGACTCCCCGAAAACTACTTTAAAAGACACGCCACCTGGTGGGTGCCCCCACCGTCCCGAGCACTGAGACTACCCCAGCTGGGTGGCCATCCCATTGGGCTGCAGGCAGAGCCAGGATGGAGCAGCCAGAGCGAGAGGCGGACGGCTGTGGTCAGGAGCGCAGGCCATCCCGTGGCAGGACAAGAGGCGGGCAGAGGGCTGTGAGAACGAGGGTGAGGAGTGAAACGTGCCCCTGAGGGCCAGTGTGCCCGCTTCAGAGGGCCCGGCACGGCCCACACCCGCCCACGCACGGTGCCCACCGCCGCGGTGAGAGCACGGCTCAGGAAGGCAGGGGCACGGACCCCACAGCGAGGCCTGCCCCCTGCTGGAGGGCGGCGGCCTCGGTGCCCGCAGTGACGGTGGGTGAAGGAGCTGCGCTCAGTGCTTCCATGCGCACACGTGCCCTCGCCTAATGGTCACAGCTCGCCGCTCACGTCACAGGTGAAGAAGAGTCAAGTGATTGGCCCCAGAGAGGCACCCAGAGCTGCCCAGTGGACATGGGATGAGTCACGAGGGTGGAGGTGGTGACGGTGGCCACGGCTCATGGAGCACCGGCCGCCGAGTGACAGCAAGACTGAAGCAGGCCCTCTGGCCTCACCTGCGTCTGAATCCCATGTGGCGCTGGGCACCCTGCCCCAGGGCTGGGGCTTCTGTCAGCCCCGGGCTGGGGAGAAGGGCAGGTGGCCCAGGCCCCTTGGGAGCCACCAGCAGGCGTGCCCCGTTTCTAGGGGAGAGACACAGCGCGGGAGGGGCCGGAGCCACGTCAGGATGCACCAGGGACAAGCCACTCCCTCAGCAACTGCTCTGCTGCCCCGGTGAGGCCGGAGGCCCCGGGTGGGTGTGTGCTTGCTGGTGGGGGACGGAGGCCTGAGGGTGGACAGGAGGCCGTGCAGGCCGCTCTGAGCCCACAGCTCTCCACCTGAGAGGTGGACTAGCCAGGGCACCAGGTGGGAACACCCGCGGTGCAGAGGGAGCACTGAGACTACCCCAGCTGGGTGGCCATCCCATCGGGCTGCAGGCAGAGCCAGGATGGAGCAGCCAGAGCGAGAGGCGGACGGCTGTGGTCAGGAGCGCAGGCCATCCCGGCTCTATCACAGGGGTACCGCTGACTCTGGACAAGCCACCCAGCCCCCGCCTCCCCATCTCCACCGGTAAGCCGGGCAGAGCTCCCGGGGCTGCCTGGCGTGGCGGGTGTTGATGCCACCCACTGCTCTGACTTCCTGGAGCCCAGCACGCAGCCCTCACCATGGCCTGAGGCCCTGCCTGCCCTCCCTGTGCATGAGGTCTTCCCTGCCCCCCAAACAGTGATGGTGTCTCCCTCTGAGCCCCCCGCTGCGGTGCGGCCAGGAGGGCCTGGCGTGTGCTCCCCTGCCAGGGGCTCCAGCAGACAGCAGGGAGCACATGCTGCCAAAGGGAGCACAGCGGCTCCGGAGGGTGAGGAGCACAGCCCTGCACCAATAAGGCCTGATCCAGGACAACTCCTCTCTGGGCGGCTCCGTGCCCTGGAAGACCTCGGGGGTTCCCTCCAGCGTCCTTTCAGCTCTACGTCTCCACGGGACCCAGGGTTCGGCTACGGTTTGGCCAATAGCAGCTAATGCTGAAGGTGCAGGGTCAGCGTCAGGAGAGGAGGCGAGAGAACATGCGTTTGCGGGCCCACCCACCTGGCCGAATGTCCGGCCCCGACCTTCGCTCTCCCCCGACCCGCAGCCCCACTGGCAGGGGCTGAGGCCCAGCAGGCTGCATTTACCCCAGGCTCCGCCGACAGACCTGCCCGGGGACCCAGCCCGGCCGCTCACCTGGGAAGGCGTTGATGTCGATGACCGCGTGCTGCCCGGTCTGGTTGTTGATGATGATGTCGATCCCGAAGAGAGACACGCCCAGCGCCTGCCGCAGGGCCCGGGACAGCCCGCGGATGACCTCGTCACTCGGCCGCTCGAACACGCCCTCGATCTTGTCCAGCTGCAACACACCACACACACACACACACACACACACACACACACACACACAGGCAGGCCGTAAGTGGGGAGGCGCAAAGCCACACCAGAGAGACCCCCCAGACAAGGGGGTGGAACAGACCAGCACCAGGTCTGGCCATTTCTAAAGTCCTTCCTTTAAAAATATGTTTTTAGTGATTTTCGAGAGAGGAAGAAGGGAGAAAGATAGAAGCATTGACGAGAGAGAAACATTGATGGGCTGCCTTCTGCCCGCCTTCCACCCACCGGGGATGAGCCCATCACCTGGGCATGGGCCCTGACTGAGAATCAGACATGGCCTCTCTGTGCCTCTCCCTGCCCCAGGGGCTGCTCCAGGCCTGGCTGCAATGCCCCAGGGCATCCGGGAGGGAGCCTGACATAGCAGCACTGACCAGAGAAGCAGCAGCACCCACAGAAATGACACGGGGACACACGCAGACAGGAAAGAGAAAGGAACTGGCGTTGCCTCTCGCCCCTTCTTTTAAATCAGTAAAAGCCGGGTGTCAGCTCCTCCTGACGGGGGAGAGCTGGGACCCCCCTGGCCTGACAGGGTGGTGAGCAGGCCTGGGCACGCAGGTCGTCAGCAGAAGGCCCGGGGCCAGCAAGCCAGAGGCCTCCTGAGCCCCTCGCCCGGGCAGCCAGTTCCACCCCAGGCCTGCACCCCGGAGCACACCGCCCAGCTCACACCAGCCACCGGGCAGAGGGACGTACCTCCGTCAGGACCGACGACGACTCCGGCTTAGACACGTTGTGGCTGTTGAAGAAGATGGACTTTCGGTCTGAAAAGCGAACACACGGAGAAGCCAGTTAGCAGCTCAGAGGGGATGGCGACGCCACCGCCCAACACCAGAGGGCAGCACCGCCCCGGCCACGAGTGACGGTGGCCGCATCAGCCTTCCGGCTCCATGCCCAGCAGCAGCCACTGACGCCCCAGCGAGCTGGGCAGCCCACCCCAAGGAGACACTCCACCACAAACGGACACATGCCCGCTCAGGGCTCGTGTTTCAAATTTCCTTCGCACAGAAAGACGACGACGATGGGCTGAGTGACCCACCAGGGTCAGGTCTGGTTCTCTCCAGCACCTGAAGGCTTGCCCCATCCCCACTCTGTGTCCTGTGGCCACGGCATCAGGAAGCCGGGTGTGTGGCTGTGCGGGCAGGAAAAGACGCATCCCGCCTATCAAAGGCCGGCTGGAGCGGCCGGGATGGCCACCGGCCCAGCCTCCCGGCCCTCCTGGTGTCTGCCTTGGCCTCCGTTCCCAGGAGCACCAGAGAAACAGTGAGGCTGCACTGGGCGCAGGATGCTGACAACACAAAGGGTCCTGCTGCTTCCCAACTGCTTGGGGGAAAGTAGAAATCAGACGGGGGGGGGGGGGCGTCTGTAGGGAACTCTGGAAGCTGGCATGGCCTCTTCAAATGCCCTCCACCTCCTTCCACCCTGTTCCCCAACCCATGCCCACCTCCACCGCACCCCATGTCCCCCAATCCCACAGGCCACCGGCCAGGCAGGCCGATCCCGAGGACAAAGGGAGCGACGAGGCCGGTGTGGTTCGCCGTGGGGGAGGAGACGAAGGCCGTGGGCCAGGCAGAAACATGTCCTCGAGCACTTGGAAGAGTGGGCACCGAACGCCAGCATCGCAAACCACGAGCCGGGGCCCGGTCCTGGGAACGGCTGCCTGTCATCCCCGTGAGCCCCCCTGCACCCCCTGAACCAGGACAGGAGGGCTGGGCACCATCGTGGGCCAGGGCCCCGCGGACGGGCGCCTGCTCTGGCTGCCAACAGCCCCCGCCAGGGACGGCGACGCCACGATCGTGCCCGAGGAAGTGACGCGGGTGGAGGCCAAGCAGGCAGGCGCTGAGATGTACCTGGCGTCCTTCCTGCCAGCGAGGCACACAGGCCCCCTGCCGCCCAGGAGCGCCCGCCAGTCCTCCCGCCGCTCTGACCAGAGCCGGTCCAGACCGGGGGCACGAGAGCCGGTCCTGGGGAAAATAAACACCCGGCAGGACTCTGCCGAGCAGCTCACCGACCTCCACTCCTGAGCACCACAGCCGAGGGCGGGCCGTGGGGGCAGAGCACCCCGGGCCAGAGGCGGGAGCAGGGCTGGAGCTGCTGGGACGGCACTCCGGCCTTCAGCAGGCACTGCCCACCTTCTCACTCTGCACCCAGCCGGGCCGGCCCCACTGAGCTCATTTCCTTTTTTTTCTTTTTTTAAAATACATTTTATTGATTTTTTTTTTTTTTTTTTAAAGAGAGACAGATAGTTAGAAACATCGATGAGAATCATCGATCAGCTGCCTCCTGCACACCCCCTACTGGAGATGTGCCCGCAACCAAGGTACATGCCCTTGACCACAATCGAACCCGGGACCTTTCAGTCCACAGGCTGACGCTCTATCCACTGAACCAAACTGGTTTCAGCTGAGCTCCTTTTCTTAAAGATACCCATTCCTCTACAACGGCCCTGGCATTCTGATGGCAGGAACAGCCTGGATGTGGGGGCCCATCCACCCTCTGCTCCCAGACTGTCCTGGGGAAGGGCCGTCACCAGGGGCGGGAGGCAACAAGAGGGATATGGGTGTTTTGCCCCCAATTTACAGACGAGAACAGCAGGTTCAAAATAAGGAGAGTAAATGACAAGATCAGCCCCCAAATATCCTGTAACCACTGGTGCAGCCATGAGCCACGGCCACACCTCCTTCAGCCCCTGTCTCCCTCTGGGGGAGGGGAGGAGGGCGTCACAGAGCTGAGGATGGCCACCCAGGTCTGGTTCGGTTCCCATACACGGGTCACCTCTGCAGGGGGCCTGCCCGGACCGCCCTTCACCCAGCGGTATCCCGGGACCCACTTATCTGGTCCTCAATTAACCCTTTTATTTTTCCTTTCCTCGTGAGCAGGAAAACCCAAGTCCGGGAAGGCAAGCCGTGTGGCTGACTGCTGGCTCCCTCAGAGGCTCTAGGCGAGGGGCCAGCAGACCGCAGGCTGCAGGCCACGCCCGGCCTGCCACCTGCATCTGTAAATAAAGTTTTATTGGAACACAGCTGCCCATTCATTTACATAGTGCACGCCCCCGTGGCAGCATGCGATAATCACGACCGAGCTGGAAATGTTTACTATCTGGCCTTTTGCAGAAAAACGCCCGCTGATCCTCTCAGTGGGAAGTGGTACCGTTCTTGTCTGTATCTCCAGGCGAAAAAGACCCCAGATGGGAAGCACAGTGAAGGCGCTGTGTCCGCAGAGGACGCGGCCTTTCTGATCCTGGCGGGGGGTAGAGGCGGGGAGCGGGCTCCCCAGGACTGCGGCCCGCAGGCAGAGAACAGAAGAGGGCCTGGTGGCTGGTACAGCCAGCGCCACCCGCGTAAGAACCTGACTTCAGTTTCTGTCGACACAACTCGCCAGGTGCCACTGGCTGTGGGACACACCCGGCTTCAGAGACATTAAAACATAACCATGAGAGCACCCAAGAAGCCAGAGCACAGCCGTGGAGGGCAGGACAGCGTCCTCTCTGCCTGTCCCGGAGGAGCCTGCTCCGGTCGCCCCCAGCTCCCCATGCCAGAGGAGGCGGGGGGGCGGGGGGGGACACCAGAAGGGGGGCTGGGGTTGGAAAGAGCCGGAGCCCCAAGGCCCCTGTCAATCGGTCCAGCTTCAAGGGCCGCTGTCAGGTGGGGAACACGCGTGCAGAACGAACAAAGCCCACGCCAGTCCCGGGCGGTGCCGAAGACAGCGACGGGCACTCAGCCCTGGGGTAGGTGGTGGGCAGACCCAACGGCATTTCTCCACCGGCTCGGCGTGCTATGTGCTCATTCACTCGGCCCCGGCCCGCATTTTATGGCAAACTGGCAACCTGGAAACAGCCACTGGAAGATGCAGCCATGGAGCCCACGCCCTGGACACGGGCAGCAGGGAAAGGGAGGAGACTGGTGAGTTTAAGAGATGGGGTGATTTTAAGGAAAAAGAAAGGAGACAACATAAGGTACGGTTACTCTTAATCGAATACATTTCCAAAGATTTAAAGCACTTTTTTTTTTTTGAATAGGGATATAAAAAAACAAACAAATACATCAGCCCCTTTTGGCCCACAATTGATAATGCCTCTTGCACCCGGTCGCGTGGCTCAGTGATTGAGCATCGACCTAAGAACCAGGAAATCAGGGTTCCAGGTCAGGGCACATGCCCAGGTTGTGGGCTTGATCCCTAGTGTGGGGTGTGCAGGAGGCAGCTGATCAATGTTTCTCTCTCATCATTGATGTTTCTCTCTCTCTCTTCCTCTCTGAAATCAATAAAATTATGTTATATGTATATAAAGAATGCCTCTTGCAGGTGTCCAGTCACACACCGAAGGACCCCTGCAGACGTCTGTCCTCCACCCCACGTCACCCAATCCCAGTGGGAGGGGGCTGGGACCAGGATGCGGACGGGGATGCCCTGACCCCTGACAAGGGCCTCAAGTCCTGGGGCGCAGCCTGGCCGGGAGGCGCCGCACTCGGGAGGACATTCCCAAAGTGCTGCTCTGGGTGTAAAGGGGAAGATGGCGGAGAGGAAGACAGGAAAAGCTGAACTGCACTCAGGAGAGTGGCCTGACAGGAGGCCCCAGCGAGGCCTCAGAGGCCCATCTATCTGGGCGGATGGTAGCACAGCCGGACATCCCTGCCGGTGCTGGGTTCCCGTGTGGAGCAAACCGCACCAACCAACGTCCCCTGGAAAGCCACGCCCCACAGATGCTGCCACCGTTCCAGCAGGTTCCGGACCGGCCTGGGGGACGCCATCAGAGCCACTAGGACATCCATGGGAGCAGCCCCAACGCAAGCGAATCTTATCCTAGTGCCCGCCAGCGAGACGGCCACCGTCTCCAGGCGGCGCGGGAGCAGCGGAGGCAAAGCTGGGCTTGTGCAGCCACCAGCCGCCCTGAGGGCTCCCCAGCTGCCCCCACAGATGGCAGCGGCCTGAGGATGCCATTGCCGTGTTCCCCCAGGCACACGTAGGACTGTCACCCACTGGTCCACAACAGCCACTGACAGCGAGGGGTCATGCCCACCGCCTGCCCGCAGCCCGCAGCTGGGAGCTTTTTGGGGTTTACAGAGGTTCGGACGGACGGGGTGGGGTGTTCGCTTCTTTTCCAAGATCTCTTCATTCCGCACACAATTCCCTCACCCTCCGGATGCTCGCTTCCCCTCCCCAGACACACAGGGGACGGGGTCAGCGCTCGCCCGCCGCCGGCTTACCTGACGTGCCCGCCGAGAAGTTCTTGAGCGAGGGCCGCTGCACCACCGTGTAGGACTCGCCGACCACGAACACCTTGTAGAGCACGGCGTTGTGGTTGATGAAGTTCTGCACCACGCAGGGCGGCTGCACGGCGCTCAGGCCCTCCTGGTTGAACACGATGGCCATCTGGGGAGACAGGCCCGGGGGTCAGACGCCCTGCGGCCGGGCACTCCGCAGGACCCTCAGGCCGGGTGAGGGGAGTGGGACTGGAGGAGATAAATCCACTCCCGTGGGATTTGGAAATCCACACACCGGGCTCGCCATGCGGGGCTGGGCGGGCTGCCCTGTGACACACACACACACACACACACACACACACACACACACACCCCAGTTCACGCTGCAGCCTGGAGGACGGGACCCCGGTTCTGTGCTACTCAACCCTCAGGGCTGCCTGGGAGGACCCTCCACCTGGCCTGGGACACGGCCGGGACGGAGAGGCAGAAACCAGAAGCCTGTGGGACAGGAGCTGGGAGGCTGGGTCAGCCTGTGAGGACGAGGCTGCCCCTCACTGAGCACCACACAGGCCCCGTCCTGACCACGGGAGACGCCTCGGAGCCCGGCCCTTACAAAGGGAAACCTTAGCCTTGAGAAGCTCAGGGGCTGCTGGAACGTGACTGGGGCTGCCCCGCCCGCAGCCCTGTCCTTACACACGGACAGGGACATGCTGCTCCCAGTCCGACGGGAGGGTCTGCAGGGGACGGAGGGAGGAAGGGCAGAGGCCGCCCGAGAAGCCGCCCTGTGCTGGCTGAGGCTGCTGCAGGCCCACCTGAGCCAGCAACCATGCCGGCCGCAGCTCGTCCCTCAGCCCGCGGGCCCAGAGGGGCCACCGATGCCGGAGGCTGCTGGGAGGGATAACAGCTAGACAGCTGCTGCCTGCCCCACTGCCGCCCCCAACCACAGAGCCACCCAGTGTGCCTGGGCCCGGCTGGACGGAGAAGTAGAGACCCGGGTCCCATGGGAGACAGAAAGCCCCGCAGTGACCGTCTCCTGATCACTCTGAGGAGAGGAAGAGACGGGTTCGAATCCCAGCACACTGTCTAAGCTCCGTTTCCTCACCCGTCCGGCAGGGTGCTCGCCTCGGCTTACAGACAACACACCACGCAGAACAGCTCTGTGAGCAGCAGCCGGGCGCACCGAGTGCCCGCAGAGGCTGAGCTGGCACAGCCGGGGTCCTCGCTGCACCCACCCCCTGGCACCCGATGAGGTGAGGAGCCTGCCCACCCGCCCTCAGGCTCCCTCTGCTGCTCCAGCCTCCCAGCAGCAGGCGGCCCGCAGCCACACAGCCCTGTCTCCTCCTCCGGGGAGGGTGGCAGAGGAGCCCGCCCTGAAGCAGCACACTGGGCTGCTGGGCTGAGGGGTGACTCAGCCTCCCCAGAAGGCACGGAGGGTCCGTCTGAACCTCTGTCCCTCTGCGAGGACCGGCAGGTGCGTCAAACCCGCCCTGCGCCGGGCCCACGCAGTGACACCCTTATCCTCCTCAGCCACCACCCGTTACCGGTGTGGGCCCGGCACTGGGACAGGCGGGCCATCACCAAGCCATACAGCTCGGCCGCACACGGGAACGGCAGAGCCCCCTCCGCGCAGCTGGCTGTACTGACTGGGCTGCTCCCATCGCCTGTGACTGTCCTCCTTCCCTCTCAGCAGGAGCTGGCAGGCAGTGCCGGGGCCCAGGAGGGCAGGGCGGCTGCTCTGAAGCCTGCTGCCTCGGGGGCCTGGCACAGGGCACTCGGGCACGGAGCCCAGCGGCCCGCGGGGGTCCCGCCGTGGAAGGCAGCTGGCCTCTGCAGCAGGCCGTCCCTGCCTGCCCCGCGTTCTTCCCACGGCAGAGTGCCGTCGGCCTGGCCGCGCCCCGCAGCACGCACCGTGGGCGCCGACAGGCGTGCTTACGGACGGTGCCCCATCAGCACCGCAGGGCCAGGGCCCAGCATCCGTCTTCCACAGGGACTCGGCGGTGACCGCCAGGCCAGGCTCTCCCAAAGGCCTGCTCCGTGGCTCTACGTCTCCTACCCCGGAGGGTGCAGTGCTGGGCGTGGAGGGCTAAAGGCCATGTCCCAGCCGTGGCTCCCAAGGGCAGCGAGGGCAGCAAAGGCCCACGGAGCCCCTGCCGGCCGTCTGCTCCTCCCGCCCTGAAGGGCCTCCTCTCCTGCCTCCCACCGCCCTCACTGCTGTCTGCCCAGTGTCTGTCGCCCACTCCCATCCTCAGCATCCTCCCCGAGCACCCAGGTGGGGTTGGGAATGGATGAGAGGGGGCACTATGGTGCCCTCTCCTCCAGTCCTTGTGGGCAGTGAGGGCATCTTTTCTGTCCACAGCCCTAGGAGAGGCCCAGCCCCAAGCCTGGCACAGAGCAGGCACCAGGGAGTGGGGACACCGATGGGCCAAAACATGGAAACCAAGGAAGGTCAGCGTCCTGCACAGCCATCCGGCCTTGGGGACAGGACAGGCAGCAGGAGGCTGCAGACGGACCACAGAGCCGCCAGGGCAGGGCGGGGGGGGGGGGGGGGGAGGGAGCGCGGGGTGGACGGGGTGGACGGGGCGGACTCAGCGGGCCCAGAGACTGTCAGGTGCTCAAACGTTCCACTCACCTCATGAGAGTTGGTGCCGTGAGCCACTCTGGTTTTGCAAACTGTGGGTGGAGGGTGGGGGAGAGAGAAGCAGAGGAGTCAGCAAGGTCATCTATTCATCCATCCATCCATCCATCCATCCACAAACCCCAGCCCAGCAGCTATGGGGGAAACTATGGCCATCTATCCATCCATCCATCCATCCATCCATCCGTCCGCCCACAAACCCCAGCCCAGCAGCTATGGAGGAAACTCAAAACTCCACAGCCCTGGGAGAGGCAGGTGGGACAGGGCCACACGCTGACTCCACAGCGGCCAGCACCGCACTCGGGGGATCTGGACCCGGTTCCACAGAGTGTGGGGGAGCGGGACCCCAGGCCATGCCCCCCCCACACACACACACAGTGTAAGCCAGGGGCCCGCCCGCTGCCCAGCGGGCCGGGTACGCACTGAACGGGAAGGTCAGGCCGTTCTCCTCCAGCAGCCGCATGGTGTCGTCCCCGCACAGGCCCGTGAGCTCCATGAAGGGCGGCGAGCAGATCCTGTCGTCTGCGGGAGAGGGAGGCCGTCAGCAGCCCCGGGGGCAGAGGCACCTCCCTGGGCCACCTCCACGCCCCGCTCCCCCGCTCCCCCGCTCTGACGCCCCAAACTCCAGTCATGTGTGAACACACACACACACACACACACACACACACACACCAGCATACTTTAAAGTTACCCCTCCTGACACCATTTCTGTAATTATAAAGCCAACACGTAACTACAATCTGAAGACCAAAGAGGAGTAAAAACCACACTCCTTCCCACACCTCCTCAGCCTTAACCTGGGCGCGAGGACGCTAACGCTCACACAGCCCGGACGTTCGCCCCACACACGCGGTATCGGCTTCCCATGACAGCAGAGCACGGCCGTGCACGGAGCTCCCAGCGCCGTCTCCCTGGGAGCCGGGTCACTGACAGCCAGGCAGCAGGTCACAGGGCGTGCGCGGCCACAGCCTTCCTGCCGGCGCGGCCAGCCTGCCCTCTCACCACCCAACCAACGTGGAAGCCAAAGCAGCTCCCGACCCCTCCGGTCAGCCTGCCTGTTTGTCTTGCTTCCTCACTCCCCTTAGAATCCCCTCCCCTCTCCACCCCCCAGCCCTGCCCCCTGCCCCCTGCCCAGGCCTCCTCCTCACCTGGGCACCTGGGCTCGCCTCGCCCTGGGGAAGCCAGTCCTGAGCTTGGGCAGAGGCTGAAAGGAGCCCACGGCCCCGGCCTGCCCCCTCCCTGGACTCCGGACGGCAGACTGTGCTGCGGGAGCCGCATTCTGGCTACTCGCATCAGAGCCATCCTGAGTGTCCATGAATCACAACGGAAACGACTGCTGCTCCTGTTTTGGTCCCAACCACCGTTCACAGCCAAAGAACGTGCTGGGGCTCGGCTAACCCTGAGGGGCTCACGGGCGACGCACATCCTGGGTTACTGACGGGTCGAACGGACAGCGAGGCGGCACTGGCGAGAGACACAACGCGCGAAACGGGGCGGGCGCGTGGGGCAGTGCGACGCTGAGCAGACACAGAGGATGAGGCACACCCCGGGGTGTGGGGCTGAGCAGACACAGAGGATGAGGCACGGGCCTGCATGGGGGCAGGCACACCCCGGGGTGTGGGGCTGAGCAGACACAGAGGATGAGGCACGGGCCTGCATGGGGGCAGGCACACCCGGGGCGTGGGGCTGAGCAGACACAGGATGAGGGAGCGGGCCTGTACGTGGGGGCAGGCTCAAACCCGTGGAGGGACAGCCCACGCACAGGCTGCTGACGGACATGCTGCTGTCGGACGCACAGCCGGGACCAGCCCGCGATGAGGACGGTCACGCAGTCAGACGAGGCTCCGAGGGCGCCTGGCTGAGGGGGAGGCGGTGAAGGAACCGGTGAAGCCAGCACCTTGGGGGCAGGAGACACGCCAGCCCGGCCCACGGGACGAACGGTGGCGGCTCAGCCCTGGGAAACTGACGGCCGCCAGCGGCTCCCGGCCCCAAATAGAGGCAGGAGGACGGCGGCACAGGGAGCTGGAGCTATTTCTGGTTTCCCCGAAAGGCTGCTGGTGCCTATTTATCTGCGTCTTTATTTCTGGACGGGAGCGGGAAAGAGGCTTTTTTTGGTGAGATGGTGGGCTGTGTTCCGTTCAGAGCTGAGCTTCAGCCCCTGGGAAACTGAAACACGTCCGTCTTCCCTCTCCGCCACCAGTGATGGCGACGCCGGAGGCCCTGGCGATGGGCACGGGCCCAGGGGGGAAGAGGACAGTTCAAGGTCACACACAAGCTGCTGGCAGGCCAGCGAGAGGCCCAGGAGAGTCGCACACCGCTGCCCTGTGCACGCCATCAGTGGCCACCCTCACCTGCCTGCTGTGGGCCTGGCCAGAAGCCACGGTCGAGGACAAACAGGTGGATCCCGAGGACAGTGGGCGGGGGAGGGCAGATGGCGCCGGAACGTTAGCTCTGAAGCCCGACTCTGAACCTGGGCTCGCTCCGCATGAGCCGTGCGCTTCGGAAATGACCGGACTCTGCGGGGCCCTGCTCTCCCGTCTGCCACCAGGAGCCATGCCTCCCTCGTGCCTGACCGGCACCCAGCAGGGCGGGCACTGTTTCTGGTACCATGCTGGGCATGGCCAGCTGGGTCACCCACAGGAGATCCTGAGTCCCCGGCCTGTGTTCAGCATCCCGGGGGGTGTCGCTACCAACTCCCCCTCACTGGCCTCCTCCACGCCCAGCACGGGGCCAGCACGGTGCCAGCGGGGCAGGCTCTGCCTGTCGCTGTGAAGGGAGCCTCCGTGGGGCACCCCACCCACATGCCAGACCCAGCCTGCCGCACGCCCTCACGCTCCCCCGAGGCCTGCCCGCCCAGGGCCCCCGCCATCCCCCCCGCCCGCCTTTCACTTCTCCGGAGACCGTCCCCGCACAAGCGTCCGTGTCTGCTCTGCCAGGACCGCGGTGAGTGTCCCCTTTTATCGCTGCATCACTGCTTTCCCATGACTCTGCATGTTCTGTCCCCCGGCTGGCGGCGTGGCCTCCGCTCACACGTGCACATTGTGCCAGTGTCCTCCCCCAGACAGGGCTCCGGTGCGCCTCTCCGGACACAGGGCCTGAGTGGGGACAGGGCGTTTCCACAGACCAGCCCCCGGGCGTGGGCTCCGGAGGCCGTGGGCGCCGACATTTCCGTGGCTCCTGCCACGCGGTGCCGTGCTGTTTCCCAAAAGGACCGCGTGCTTAGCCGGCGGCACCAGCAACGAAGGGCCTTGGCCACGTGTCCCCGGCCTGGTCCCGCCTGCAGGAACCAGGGCCGCGGCTGTGAGGGAGGATGAATGGCCCATCCGGCACAGAAGGTCACTCTGCCCACGGGCCCCAGCAGAGCGAGCGAGGCAGGAAGACTCTGAGGCTGCCCGGGGTGTGGGGGGCGGGGGCAGGGCACGTGTGTGACGCCGGGAGCTGAAGCCCTGCACGTGGGCTCGGGACCGGCTGTGAATTCCGGCAGCTCCAGGCCATCCGGGTGGCTGTGCAGGTAGAACAGGGGTCCCAACAGGCCATCCTGTCCACCCGCTGGATTGCGGTGAGAATCAGAGTCTGCAAAATGCCAGGTGAAGAAGCCAGCCCCTCCCTGGGGTGTGGGCAAGGGCCTGGTGCTGCCATCTGCTCACGCTCTTCTTGCAATGGGAGGGGAGGGGAGGGGCGGCTCTGGGTCCAGGGGCCACCTCGAGCCTGGCAGAGGCAAGGGGCCCTTACCACCCCAGCTCCCAGCAAGGGAGAACAGGGACAAGGGCCGGGCAGAGCATTCGGCTCAGACGGGACTCTCAACCCCAGGAGAGCGGGGATGGGAGGTGGCGGCAGCCCCAGCCTGGCACTAGGGTGTGCGGCTCAGACTTCTGACTGCGTCCAGGGAGGGCTCCGCGGAGGAGGCGACATCACAGAGGGCCCTGCTGGAGGGGGTTCAATCCATTCAAACCCTCCGCCTGCCCGGGGCTGCCCACACGTGGCGCCCTCCTTCCGGGCAGCAGGGGCCAGTTCACGGTGAAGCCCCACAGGGGAGGGACTGAGCTAACACCGGGCTCCCACCTCCTGGCCCAGGGCACCCAGCCTCTCAGAGCCGGGCGGGGCTGCTCCCTGTCCCCAAGGCCCGTGTTGTATGGCAGGAAGCAGCCTCTGCAGGAGGGCGCGGAGGCCATTGTGTCACTGAGCGGGTGGGACAGCAGGACCAGGCTCTCACTCCCCCTCGGAGGTGGGGGAAGATAGGCGCCCTGACTCCCAGGCCTGAGCCGGCGCCCATGCTGGTCACTCAGGGCCTGGGGGCCCGCCTCTGAGCACCCCTGCCCGCACACCCAGGAGCCCCTCCCGCTGGGCTCGCCCCTCACCCCAGTGACCAATGGCGGCCCCCTCACACAGACTGGGCCCCCGGAAGTCCTGCAGGGACCTGGGCGGCTGAGGTGTGAACCCCAGCCCCACCTCCTAGCAGCTGGCAGCCCTGGCCAAGGCGCTCCCCTGCCCCGCTTCCTTGCTGGAAAAGGAGGACAACAGTAGCTACTTCATGGGGCTGCCCCCTCCCACATGGAAAATGCACCTTTAAATTATGAAGTATTAATAGTTCCTAAGCACAGCTTCACCCGGGGTCTGGGCAGCTCTGGGGCAGGGGCAGGGGCAGAGGCAGGGGCAGGGGCAGGGGCAGGGGCAGGGGCAGGGGCAGGCACTGTGACCCAGCACTGGGGCTTCTCCCAGCTGCCACCAAACGTTGCTCAGCTTAAGCAAACAATTCCCTTTTTGGCACCCTCACCCCCACCAGCTTCTCCCCCAAAAGCCACCAGATTCCCGGCATCGTGTGTGTGTGTGTGTGTGTGTGTGTGTGTGTGTGTGTGTGTGTCCCGCAACAAACCCAAGTGACACTCGGCGGCCGGATCCTGGGCCCCCACACACACCTCCGGGGCTCCCCTCCTCCATGACAACAACCCACTCATCCCAGCATCCTAAAGCTCCCGCAAGTTCCTGAGAACGCTGTCTTCTAATGCCCGCCTCCTGCCGTGGCCTGACCCGGCCTCTCCTACCAGCAGGCTCGTGTGTTCTAGTACAAACGTCTTTCTCACACGCCACTCACTACCCTGTCTGATGGCTCAGCTCTTATAGCTATTAAATGTCCACATTTTGGTTCGGAGTCAGCAACCAGACAGTACATTCCTTGGGGTCAATACTGGGCCTTACCCCTGGCCCAGCACTGCTCAAAGGAGGCGGGCGGCAGCAAGAACCCTCTCTCGGACAAGCGTGCATGTGTGGGATGAAGTGAGAGAGAAATAAACGTGGGCTGCAAGCACTAGCAACCAAAGGAGGGGGGAGGGCTAACCAGCAAGGGAAAGAAGGGGGGGCTGCAACTCCCCAACCGGCCACTGTGTGGCGCTGTTGGCCTGGCACAGCCCTGGTAACTGTGGTCACAGACTTGAATGGACAAAAGCCTGAAAGCCTGGCCCATCAACCTGCAGGCTCCAGGGATCCTGTCGGATTGTTCAAAGTCACCTTCCAGCTGCTGTTAC